CATATTAGTATACAAAAAGAATAAAACAAAGTAAAACCTCTCAAATTGTGCCAAAAGCCAAGGAAAAAAGATGAGTCGGACTCCCATCCTAAGTCTAGATTACATTTAAAAAGACTAATTAACCAACCAGCCATGTTAGTATACTGTGTAGGAAGCCCGAGTCCTCTGATAGAACCAATACTTGTATGGGGAGAACATGCAGACAAGATTTAAACCAAAGGCCTTGACGCAAAGTAACAGTATTATCCACTGCAACACCATATGACTTTCTGTGAATCTTCAGGATGCTTTTTTTTTTTAGACTCTAGTGGCTGTTATTTATTTATTTATTTTTTTTAAGTAGGCAGACAGTATCTGGGATTAGAGACACGAAAGACATGTGGCAAAGTTCACCAGGTCAGGAATTGAACCTGTGACAGCCACATGGAGGAATGAAGCTTCTGTAAATGGGTTGTGTGCTTAAGCCCTGCACCACCATCATGCCCTAGACTACATTCACGTACACTGCCATGTTTCTTTTGATAAATTAGTTAATTCTGTCCGCTAATTAGCTCCAACAACCAGATATGCAAAATGGATTACCATTAACATTCTGGATGCTTCTCCTATCTTCTCACGTAACACTGGGACCTCTGGGGTTTTGGTTACCTCTTTGGCCAAAGCCGTCTTTCCAGAGTACTGGTCAGGAAGTGGCAATTGTCCCTGTTGCTCTAAGCTTCTTCCATGTCCGATTAATTGAGATCTACTTTTTTTGCTTGTTGTTTTACATTTTATCTAGGACTAGGTGCCCAAATTTCCCTCTCCCCAGACTCCCCTTCCAGCTCCTCTGAGGGAAGCATGAGGCGTTCCAAGGCAAGCTGAATGAAATAGTCCCCCCAGTGTACCGTGGACTGCTTCCCTGGGACTTCTACTGTCTACATGCCTGGAACACCTCCAGAGAAAGAGATATGAGCCACATCAGCTAAGCCTCTCTATGTGGAGGAGCAGTGGCTCTACTAAGAGCCCCTCCTGGATGGGCTATATAATGCTCATAAACAGATGAACCCGGCTCAGAGGTCTAGATGGCTTTATCACTTGTTTTCTACTCTAATAAGCATTATGAATCTTATAGACAAGTGTTGTCCTTTCCAAATCATGCCAGTCAAGTAAATCATCAGAGGCTCGTCACAATCAAGCTGCAGGAGCTTCCTCAGATGCAATCAGAAGAAAATGATCCTAATTTTGTGTGCAGAGAATGTAAATACTGATATACCTATTAAATGTTTATAAACATATATTTGTATAGCTATACAACAATGTTTTTATATATGAAAAATAGAATTAGATTTTTAGGTTTTAGGATAAGTCTTTAACCTAAAAATAAAAAAAAAAACTGAATATTTGCACAAAGTAATGAAAGACAACATAAATCAGTTTACTTGTCCAATGTGGTTTGTTCCATTATTTTTAAAGCGTGTCATAATAGACTGGATCTACTGTAGATATGAAAGCTCCATACTCTACCAATTTAATTACACAAAACTGCTAATTTTGGTCTTATTTCTG